TGCCCCTGTACCCTGCCCCCTGCTACTTGAAACCAGCTAGATGTTTCCATTTCAGTACAACTGAAGGACACTTATGAGACCAATACCTTCTTCTTCCTGGTGTTTGACCTGTAAGTACCCAATCCTGCAGCCAGCCACACCGGGGCCTGCTGGAGAACCTCCACTCTGGCTCCTGCCCAGGCTGCCAGGCTTTGAAACCTGGGTCCACCACATATGGGCCAAGTAGTTTCTCTCAGTATTGGTCTTCTTATCTGTCTTATGGGAGCAATATTGGCACCGTGCTTGGCACAATGTAAGTGATACTGATTATTAACTGCAGTGACAGTTGTGCTGGGGGCCACTCCATATTTATTCTAGACATGGAGGACATGACAATGGAAGGGCCAGACCAGGTTCTGACTTGTAGTCGAGTACATGTACATGCACATAAGGCACAGCAAAGGGTTAGGGGGACCAGGACTTCAGGCAAAGTCTCCAGGAGGTGACTTGAGTAGAGGTGTAGGGGGAAGGCATGGAAGGACCAGAGCAAAGGCCCCGAGCAGATCTCCAGCCAAGGGAAGAGCTGGCTCGTGGGCTCCGTGGCCAGGATCTGCAAGGCCCCTGAGTAGGGGGAGTGAGCTTGTGCAGAGCAGCACGATGTGAGGCTGGAACCAAGGAGCAGGTGCTGCAGGCACTATAGCCTTGATAACCCTAACCCTGACTCTCCCCGGAGGGCCTGGTGCACCTGGGTAGGTGCTCCACCATGGAACTGTTGGTTTCTGATGAGGATCCCAGTGGCAGGATGTGAGTCAGCAGTGTGGAAGGCAGAGGCTGCATCCAAGATGTGGTTCAAAGGTCAATACCATTAGTATCAAGATTACCCCTTTGCTTGAGCTCCTTGTCACTGAGTGTCAAGTGTGAGCAACACAAAGTATTCTATGAACTGTGTTCAAACTTGTCATCATCTTTGTTATTAAAGCTTCCCAGGGAAGGGAATGCCCTGCTCCTTGTTCCCCTCCACTGCCTTTTCACTGAGAATGTCAACCTCTGCAAAAACAAGTATGATTTCTCCATATACAATAGTTTTAGGGACAGGGGTTACTTGAGAAATTATTCAAGTAAGTTATGTATTGCTGAAATATTTCACATTGTAGCTATATTATGTTCAGTATTATTTTTAAAAAATTTTAATTAATTAATTAAATTTGTGGTGCTGGGAATGGACCAGGGGCACTTTACCACTGAGCTACATTCCCAGCCCTTTTCATTTTGTATTTTGAGGCTGGGCCTCACTAAGTTGCCTAGGCTGGCCTCAAACTTTCAGTCTTCTTGCCTCAGCCTCCTGAGTCTCTGGGATTACAGGTGTGTGTCACCACACCAGGCTTACGGACTTAGAGTAACAATTTAGCCTCACATGTAAGCATAAATACATGGTTAGCTCCGGGAAGGTAGAGCCCACTGAGGTGCCGTGCATGGCCTCCAGTGTTCACTGGCCAATCATTGCTGCTGCTGCTGATAGTGAGTTCTCCTAGTATCTTTCAAATGAACTAAAATGATAGAGACTGGGGCTGGAGGTGTATCTCAGTGATTAGAGTGCCTGCCTAACACGTGGGAGGCCTTGGGTTCAATCTCCAGCACTGGAAACAAACGAGGATAAAGACAGGATTCACACATTACCTTTTAGGAACACATTACAGGTACTGTGTAAAACGAGGCTCACCTCTGTAAATTCTAGGTCATCTCAAAAAGACACCCTTTCCCTTCTCAAGCTGCCAACCAAGCTGAAGGTTTTCTTCCTCTCTGTGATGCTGGCCACAAATCTGTTCCTCCATTCACTCTCCTCCCCATGGGGATCCCTTGACCCTTGGAGGGGTGGGAAGGAGGGACAGGATGTGCCTTTTCCTACTTAGTCTCGGCAGATTCTCTGAAGACCCCTCCAGACTTGACCAGCTGCTGCTCTCCCCAATCTGCAGCACCTGCACCATCCTGTCCCACCTTTGGGGGTAGCTCAAATGTCTTTAACCTTTGAAGAGGCTGCTTGGGGAATCTATTTTTGCTGTTGCCCTCAGGAGCCCTCAGGGCATAACTAGATCATTCTAGCAGAGACCCTTTCAAGATCCTCCCAAGAGGTAAGGAGATTGAGCGGCAGTTCTTGACCCGGAAAAAGCAAAACTTCCCAACATTCAGTGTTGATTCCTCCCATTTGTCTCCTGGGAAAATTCCGGATACTCGAATCCTTCTGATCTGCACCTGGAACCCTGGGCTCAGGGGGCCTTTCGACCTCCAGCTTTGATCTGGGTTCTGACAGGTCCCAGCCTATGATGGCACTTCCACAGACAGGGACCCCGGCACTGGTGTGCATCCCACCTTTCCAGTCTCCTCTTTTCTTCCAATTCTTGCCAAATTCTGTACTCACTCCCCCAGTTCCTCTCCCCAGACTTGGGTCCTTCAGGAGGAGTGGCAGCCCATCTTGTCCCTCTGGGAGCAGGGTGAGGGGTGATCTTGGGACAAGCATGACTAGAACCTGTTCCCACAGGATGAAGAGAGGGGAGCTCTTTGACTACCTCACTGAGAAGGTCACCTTGAGTGAGAAAGAAACCAGGTGAGGGTCTGTCTGCCCCTCTTTCCAGGCCCTTCCAGTGTCCTAGCAGCACAGGTGTGAGGTCTAGGAGTCATGGTGTGCCCTGTCTCAGCTGGGAGTGTGCACTGCTGTCTTGGTGCCCTGCCTCCTTGGCTGGGTCTGGACCCTCCCAGCCTATCCCAAGCCCTCCTCCCTGTGCTGGCAGTGTGGCTGGTTATGTGAGCTTTGCTCTCTCTGCTACTACCTGACCCTGCAGAGTAGAATAACATGGGGTGGAACGTGGTCTGTCTTATGGAGTGTTTGATTTGTGTGTCTACAAAGCACCAATCAAACATCAATACAGGAGTGAAAGAAAGACATGTAGAACAGAGGACAGAGGACGGAGACTAGGGTGGGGGAAGGGTGGGTAACGGGGACTGAAATGGAGTCAAATTCCATGCATGTATCATTTTGTCAAAATGGGCCCAACTATTATGTATAACTATAATGCTCTAGTAAAAGAAAAAAACACAGCCAATTAAAAACTTTAAAAAGGAAAAAGAAAGGAGCAACATATTTGCCCACCCTAGAAAGATCATGAGAGCCCTGCTGGAAGTGATCAGTGCCTTGCACAAGCTCAACATCGTACACCGGGATCTGAAGCCTGAGAACATCCTCTTGGATGACAACATGAATATCAAGCTCACGGACTTTGGCTTTTCCTGTCAGCTGCAGCCGGGAGAGAAGCTGAGAGGTCTGGTGACATGCCAGGGGCTCAGGCTCTCTGAAGCTCTCTGGTCCTAGTCAGTTCTCCAGGACCAGAGAGCCTGGGTTTCTCCCCGCCATTTTCCACTAGAATAAAGTCCTGCCAGTGGAGGGCTAGGTGCCTCTTCAGGTTGAGTCCTCTTTCTGGGACTGCGCTGAGCCAGGTTGCCACTGCCTAAGCTCCAGGCTGGGATGGGTAAAAGGGAACCAAAAGGCAGCCCTTGGTCCTGTGTGAACCCTGCCCCTGCCCTCAGCCCTGAAGTTGGCCAGTGTTAGGCCAACCCCAGTCCCAGCCCCACTTCCCTTACATCTCCACTATATCTTTGGCCTTCCTCTTCTAAGTGCCTTCTGCTGACTGGTCCTGACAGTAACTCTTCTGCAGAGGTCTGTGGGACCCCCAGTTACCTGGCCCCCGAAATCATTGAGTGCTCCATGAACGATGACCATCCAGGCTATGGGAAGGAGGTGGACATGTGAGTGCAGGAGGTGGGGAGGGAGGAGGGACCCATGGACAGGACTAGGTTGGAACAGAGATGCTCCCTCTCCTTCCCTGATGCTGCTAGGAGGGGCAGCCAGCCCTCCTGCACTCACCTGCCCATCTGCTAGGGATAACAAGCTGCCCTTGCACAACCCAGGTGGAGCACAGGGGTCATCATGTACACCCTGCTGGCTGGCTCCCCACCCTTCTGGCACAGGAAGCAGATGCTGATGCTGAGGATGATCATGAGTGGCAACTACCAGTTTGGCTCCCCGGAATGGGATGATTACTCAGACACCGTGAAGGACCTGGTGAGAGGCCAGGACTCCAGGCTCGTCCAGCATGGCCTGGGGAGGGGTCTTCTGATGTGCTGGGGGGGGCCGCCTTGGTGCTCAGCTCCTCTCTTCTGTTCGCTCAGGTATCCCGCTTCTTGGTAGTGCAGCCCCAGAACCGCTGCACTGCGGAGGAGGCCTTGGCACACCCCTTCTTCCAGCAGTACGTGGTGGAAGAGGTGCGGCACTTCAGCCCTCGTGGCAAGTTCAAGGTATTGTCCTTCCCTTGACTTGTGGCCCTAGGGCAGGTGCTGCTGCTCCTGAGGTCTTAGACCCAAGACACCTAGGGGCTCTCACATCCACGCTGTCCAGTGCATTGCTCCTCACCTGGTTCCAGCTCAACTCCTGGCTGCAGAAGAGCATGGCACCTGGCTGGTTCTGTGGGCCAGGACTGTGCAGGGCCCAGTGGGCCGCTTGGGGGATACTCTCAGCGTGGCCCCTAGGCAGGATCGCTCTGATAATGCTGGCAGGCTGGGGATGTGGGGTACTGCGCAGGGCCCAGTGGGCTGCTTGGGGACACTCTGAGTGGCCCCTCGGCAGGATCACTCTGATCATGCTGGCGGGCTGGGGACCTGGGGGGCTGCGCAGGGCTGGGGTTACCCTAGGGGAGCTCTCAGAGCAGGTCCTTCGCAGGCCATCGCGCTAACCGTGCTGGCTGCAGTGAGGATCTACTACCAGTACCGCCGCGTGAAACCGGTAACCCGGGAGATCGTCATCCGCGACCCGTATGCGCTGCGGCCACTGCGCCGCCTCATTGATGCCTACGCTTTCCGCATCTATGGCCACTGGGTGAAGAAGGGTCAGCAGCAGAACAGGGCCGCGCTCTTCGAGAACACACCCAAGGCCGTGCTCCTCTCGCTGGCCGAGGAAGACTACTGAGGGACGGTGGTGCAGGCAGCCATGAGACCCCGCATTGGCCTGTGTGCGAGGAGCACCAGGGCCCGGCTTGAATCCTTGGATGCAGGCGGCTGTCCCTGCAAGGCCTCCGCAAGCAGCGTGTGCGTGTGCACCGCATAGCGATAAATGTAGAACAGGTGTGGTCTGAAACAACCACGAGTCCTCCTGCTTCTCCACGGCCCAGCCTGCACCATCCCAGTTTCCTTCCATGGGGAGCCAGGGTTACTGACAGTTGGAACCCTTCCTAAGGGTGCCAGGGTGAGGATCAGCCAGGTGTGGTGGCGCGTACCATGATGCCTGCGACTCTGGAGGTTGAGGCAGGAGGATGACAAGGTCAAGATCAGCCTGGGAAACATAGAAAGACCCCTGTCTCAAAATAAATAAAGAGAGCTGGGGATGGGGCTCAGGCAGGCGTAAAGCAACCCTGGGTTCGATCCCCAGTACCAAAAAAGAGAAATATCTGAGATACACAATTGCAAATTTATTGATGTGGTGACATCTGATGACATGGAACAGGTTTTTTGCTAGGGATGTTTTTAGAGGCATCAGAAGCTCCTATACAAGTAAGATATATAATTAACATCAGAAGGGAGCCAGCACAGTGGCAGGCAGCTCAGGAAGCTGAGGCAGGAGAATCATGAGTTCAAAGCCAGCTTCAACAAGAAGCAAGGCTTCACGCAACTCAATGAAACCCTGTCTCTAAATAAAATACAAAAAAGGGGATATGGCTCAGTGGTCAAGGGCCTCTGAGTACAATCCCTGGTACCAAAAAACAAAACAACAACAAAAAAACATCAGAAGGGAAAGCTTCTGGATTATTTGCTTTGTGACTGCCACAATGCACAGCTTCCTGGTAAATTATTTAAGATTGACACTGGGCCCAGCATGGCAGCACACTAGTAAAGTTCAAGGCCAGTCTGGGTAACTTACCAAAATCCTGTCTCAAAATAAAAAATAAAAAGGGCTGGTGTATCTCGGTGGTAGAGCACCTGTAGGTTCTGAGTGTGAGTGTGTGAGTGTGTGTGTGTGTGTGTGTGTGAAGCCCATTGCATTAAAAAAATTTTTTTTAGATGTTGATGGACCTTTATTTTATTCATTTATTTACATGTGGTGCTGAGAATCAAACCCACATGGTATGCAAGTGCTCTACCACTGAGTCACATCCCCAGCCTAACCCATTGCATTTTTACAGATAGTTCCTTGAAAGGAGCAAGAAACACTATAGACAGATAAAGGAAGCATTTTCCTTCTACAAAAATCTGCTGGGAAAACAGCTGCCTTAGAAAATTTTGTGTTGAGGAAATGTCAGATCTCTCAATCAGGGAGAAAGGGAAGGTAACAGATTTACAAATGTTTTGGGAACTGCACTTTGGAGCCCTCTGTTCCAACAGTTTTCCTATCTGGCCCTGTATGGTCAATGCTTGGCCTCCAGGGGACACCCAGCTCCCAGTCACTGCAGTCAGGCTCCTTCCCTGAGACAGGGGCAGTTCTCAGAGGGAGAGGCCACCCTGCCTTGGGAAATGCCTGCTGTGGAAGATGGGAAGGGAGGGGAGGGTGTCCCTGAAGCTGCAGTTTAAGAGCTTAGGGTCAGCTGCGTTTGGAATATGGCCAGGGAATGACCTGGGTCTCAGGGGAACTTTTCTCCTGTCCATGCTGCCAGCAACTCACAGCTCCCCGGGCAGGCGGCCTGCTCCTGAAGCACAGCGGAAGCCCAGGTTGTCTGAGGCAGAGTCCGGAGTGTTGCCCATCCTGCCATCAGAGAAGGGGAGAGAAGCCTGTGTTGAGAGGGGCTGGTGGCCATCCCACCCTTCCTGCCCACCCCAGGCTTGCTGAGGCTGGTGTGTCTGAGGCCTGCAGCAGCATGGCCAGGAGAGACCTGGTATAAGAGCAAGTCCTGGGTTTGATCCCCAGTACCAAAAAAGAGAAATATCTGAGATACACAACTCCTGGGGTGTGGGACAGAGTAGGGTACGCGGAGTGACCCTGAGGGATGGCACTGGAGGACAGGGCTTGGCTATCACTATAACAACCTCCACTGTGGGGGGTTAGAGCAGCATAGCCCCAAACCCTGTAGGCACGGAGTGAAATGACACTGGGGAGGTTACCCTCCCCAGATTTCCTTCACATGTTACTTCCCTTGCTCTGCAAGGCAGGATGTCAGCATTTCCTAGATTCAGAATCAGAGGCCAGGAAGGCCATGTGTATGGTAGGAGGCGGGTGGGGCAGTCAGCAGAAAACCCAGATTCCTGCTCCAGGCCTTCCTGGTTCTCCACTACTTTGTTCAAAAGAGAAAGGAGAAGAAAACCCAGAAATTTCAAAGCATCAAATAAACCTCTGTAGCCTTGATGTCGTGAGGCCACAGACAGCAGACTCTAAGACCTTAAGGAATCCAGTGGAAGGAGCTGCAGAGGTTATCAGCTAAATTAAACCTGTAGATGCTGAAAGAGGGTCCTGGAAGGGGGTTCAGGAACTCTACCAGCCAGGTGCCACCACTAAACATCTGTGTGAAATAAGGAGGCCCCAGGACCTCCTGAGCCTTTTTTTTCTTGATTGTAAAGCAAAGGATTATAAAAAATGATTTTTCATGTGCCCATCTACTTGGAGAGTCAGTAATTCCATGTCTACTGGCAATGACCTGATGTGGCCACTCTACCCCCATCCCCCTGCTCCCACCTGCTTAGGGAGGACAAGAGGGATGCCCATACAGTTAGTGGGCCACACAGTCCCCCCTGGGGTGGCGAGCTGGCAGGAAATGCTGCAAGTTGCCCCAGGCCCCTAACTCTTCTTGCCTGTTCCTGTTCTGTGCCCACAACCCTAGCAGAGGCTGGTGCCCAGAAGCAGCGCCCGCATCAGCCGCCTGGGCTCCTGCAGCCAGGACAGACTCCCGGGCCCTGGCTGCTGAGCCGTGTTCCACAGGACCAAGCTCTCACCTAGTGGTGACCCGGGCCCGGTGATTGGCAGAACCATCAATGGTGTCGATCCAGGACGCACCCCGGAGAACACGCATGTCCTGGCCAGCGGCCTGGTAGGGTGATGCGGTCCACTCCCACACATTGCCCATGAGGTCATAGATCCCTGCAACATAGTAGGAGCATCAGCCAGGCTGGGAAGCACGAGATCCCCCAACCCCTCTGCGGCCTGGGGAGAACGGGCAGCATTAGGACCATCGGCAACTCGGGAGAGAGCCTACCGTAGCTATTCTGTGGGGGAAAGGCATTCACCGGCGAGACTCCGTGGAAGCCATCCTCAGCTCTGTCACCCTTGGGGAATGTTCCCTGGTGGGAGAAATTAACCCTGAAGGGTCTATCAGCCTATTCCAAGACAGGAAACCCTGCCTGGAGGAAAAATCCACAGTCCCCTTGCTGCAGAGCTGGCCCAGAAAGGGGCTGGGGCCATAATCTAAGGCTCCCCTCAGGCTGGGTCAGGAAGAGTGCATTTCTGTGCCCACAGTGGTCCACGTCCAGCCTGTCCTCCTACTGTTGGCTTTCAGAGACCTTCTGCCCTCTGCCTTGATACCCTCCCGCTGTGGAGCTACTAGGAGCGGCATTTCCCACTCTCCTCCAGGTCCTGCACCTGCTGCCTTCGCAGGACCACGGGTACCCCCCTGAGCCTTCTCCCTTCCACCATAACAACCTTAATGCCCTCTCATCCACCCCACCCCACTGTTCCTCTCTCCTACTCTTTACAAGAAAAATCCTTAAAAACGTGACTGATGCTTGCTGTCATAACTTGTTGAGCTCTGTCACCTTTCCTTAACCTGGGGCATGGTTGGCACCACTGCCTGTAAGCAGCTCTCACACCAGGAGGGTGATGGTTGGTGATCTGTTCAGCGCCACCATGCACTATATCACACTTCTCTCCCTTAATGTGACTATCCTCAGTGCCACGTGTTGCCTCCCTTAAAAACTCAGCAAAGTGGCCAGGTGCAGTGGCATACATCTGTAATCCCAGCTCAGGAGGCTGGGGGAGGAGGATCACAAGTTGGAGGCCAGCTGGGGCAACTTAGCGAGACCCTATCTCAAACAATAGAAAGGACTGGGGTGTGGCTCAGTGGTAGAGCACCTGCCTAGCATGTGCAAGGTTCTGGGATCCATCCCCAGCACCACACAGACAACCAACAAAAACATAAATAGGTCATTATAACTGCAGACCCTCTTTGATGCTTTCCCTAACAGGCTGGTGAGGAATCCCCCAACTCTAGAGCCTCTAGCCATCCTCTAAAAGGTAGATGCCTGATGACTCCCTGCTGGGAACAAACCTGGGCCTTGGGAGCCAGACAGGGGCTCCCCTCCTGTTTTCAATCTTTACTGACAAGAGCACGTGACCTGGGCTGACCCTGAGCCCACAGACTCCCCCCTGACTGCTGATGCGCAGGTTATCTGTGTAGATGAGGCAGCACCTTAGCCATATGGCCCAAGCCTAGGCTCAGGCTGGAGTCCACCCTCCTCCACCCTTCCACATTTGATGAATTATCAAACCCTATCCACCTTCTCACACATCCTTCTCCCATTTGGCTTCCTCTCTTGATCCTGTTTCCACTTAATTTGAGAACTGATGACCCCTGGGTCACTTCCATAGCCTGGGACTCAACACATCCCGTCACATCTGCAGTTCTACCTCACCTGCTCCTGCACAAGTCAGCTTCAGTGCATTTCTTCCTGACTCAGAATGATGATGCTCCAGCGCACACCTGCAGCCATACACTGCGTGCCCAGCAAGCCCAGGCCTTGGATTCCTGGGTTCCGTTCCCAGAAACAAACAAGTAAACCCCTGCTGGCTCCTCAACCTGCTCTTTTCCTATCTCCTGTAGCCCCTTACTTCCTGAAATGGCCACACCTCTGAACATGCCCTGGTGCTCCCTTGCCTGGGAATGCCTGGACTTTTCACTCGGCAACCTCCTACCTGACCAGCTCCAGCGTCACCCTTTGTGGTAAAGTCTCCCCCACACCCTCTTGTCTTTGTCTTACCAGTGCAGAGTTTTCAGTTCCATCAGGACACAAGCCCTCTGAGCCCCACATCCCCTCCCATGATGCCCACCTCCTGCAGGAGGAGACTGGTGCTGCTGAGGAGGAAGTGGGTCTTACCTGCCACAGGTTGGTACGGTTTGGCTGGAACCGGTTCCCCCATGGGTAGACCTGACCTGTCAGGAGGGCCAGGACACAGGCCAGAAAGGAGAGGAGGAATTGGGAAAGAAAAGCAAAATCAAACAGTGAGAGCACCTGAGGGAGCTGGGAGGTGAGGAAGAGGAGGTGGCTTACTTCTGCCCCACCCAGCCCTGCCTGGGGCACTGGCCTGACCCCCACCCCCAGGGCTCTGCAGTACCCCTTGAGGTGCTGTGATCAGGTCAACCTAGAAGCCTTGTTGCCAGTTCACGTGGAGATGAGTATAGAAATAGAGAGTACACATTGAGAGGTTAGTTCATTGGATTTCAAACAAGAAGCAACCTTGTCCGCCACACTAAGCACCTCAACTACTGATATCCCAGGTATTCGTCTGAAGAGGTGTGGAGGTGTTCAACGTGGGAAACTGTTCTGTATTATTGTGACCTTTTGCACAGCCAAGACTGACCAAGACAAAGCTATAAGCAAGTGGTGCTTTTTGATGTCAACCCCTGCTACTTTGGAAACTGTGCTTTCCCTAAGCTGTGCTGCTCTAACTAGATCTATGGAAATCTAACCTGTACCTATGGAATCTCCAACAACAAAAACGTTAGGTCTCCTTTTCACTCTGTGTTTTCAACCATTCATTTTTTTTGTGGCATTGCGCGTGTGTGTTGGTCTGAGGTGGGTTAGCAATGAAACAACACAGGGAACCCTGGCCCTTCCCCACAGAGAGTTTAAGAAGCACTGCTCTAGGGAGCACAAGCTCTTCCCACCCTCAGAAGTCCCCCAGGCAGGGTAGAATGTGGAGGAGAATAGAGAAGTTGTCTTGACATCTGTACCCTTCAAGCCCCCTCGGGCAGCAAACTCCCA